GTACAAGCTACGCTGAGTTGGTATAAAGAAGTTTTACTTGGAACATGTGAATGTAAATATTGCCCTTGTCCTCCATTTATCTGAATGATGTTAAAGCACGAAGGTAAAGTATAGTTAGGGAGGGCTGCATATAGCCTTACATAAAGTGGATTTCGATGCCGAAATCTTTGAAATGGACGCTACTCTCTCTATTGTCTTCAAGCTACGACCCGCTGAGTTGAAGAATTATCCTGAGATTATTTGTGTATTAATCCATTTTCCCAGCATATTACAGAGGCTGCGCCTACTTTCTGCTTCGGGCATATTTAGTTTTTGTCCACGCAAAATTCCGTCGATTTCTTTTAGCATGTCATTTGACGGTTTGCTCGTAAATCACATTGGCTCTCAACAATGTAATCTACGAAAAAATTGTCATCATTTGTTTTATATTAGAATTATTAGAAGGAACGTTTCTGCACTTGAAAACAGTGACATAGTAATATGTTCAGTCCAAAGCGTTTTTTAAAGAAAAAAAAAACTGTTTTTTCTGTGTCCTTAAAATCCAAGAGTAGTTGACTAGATGTCTGTTTTCTGTGTCCTTAAAATTCAAGTGTAGTTGACTAGATGTCAGCAAATGCCATGGTATTTATTAGTCTAGTCGTGAAGTGAATAACTGCTCTGTCCACGATTCATTGTTTAATAATGACTCTACCTGCTGATTTGCCACTTTTTTTGCTGAACTATTGTTTCTTGGCTTTCAATAGGCCATAGAATCCAATCCAGTTCCATTTCAACCGAGTGCTGATGGATGTGGTTAACAGGCTACTGTGTTTCGCAACTTTTGCTGAACATGGTAAGAAAGTTCTTGCCCCAATGATTTATTTCAGTTTCTGTGTCACGCTGTGGCAATAAACATTGAACAATGCGTATTTGGGAGGTGCATATGAAATTGTCGACATCGGCCCAATATTCGTCAATCTTAAACGTGTTTTCGCAGAACCTATTCTATAAAGAACAGATATCGTGTTGTTGCATGTTGGAAATCGATATTATTTCGCGAGTCTGATGGTTGAGAAAATGGTTCCCGGCGTGCTGGTTGCTTTTTACATAGCAGATTTATCATCTCTACCTTTATCGAACTGTTCGTGGTATTTTCTGAAGATTGGGAAGCTTTGTTCTATGTTTCAAGGATGACATATTTCATGTGAAGCGAGAGAATTCGAAGATTTTTTCCGGACAGTTAATGGTTTCTAGTCATGATTTTCTCTAGTAAAACATCTTAAGATTATTTACATTATTTCTATTATTGGGACTATTGTCCTCATCTTTGTCGCCATATTTATTACAACGTATCGGCCGTTATACGCCCCGGCCTTCTTCAGGTGGTTGAAATGTCAAGATGAACCCTTTATTTCGCTCTCTGGGGTAGGTTTTTCTAGTTCCACGTACATAATATCTCATCTCAGAAATATGGACATATACTAAGATTATTTATTATTTTATTATCTATTTGTTAATTTGATTGAGAGTTCATACCCTTATATCATTGTGGGCGTTTCACTTTTCATATAAATGAAAACTCTAATCGCAGCATTCAGTGTAGGGCTATAAAATTTCACACGGGTTATTGGCGAAAGTGTTTCTGTCCCTGATGCACAAAAAATTAATACTAGTGTTAAGAGAAAGTGCGCATATATGAGCAACTTAGGTTGTCTTTATGTTGCAACATTGTGCAACTTATTCTGCGTAAAACTCGAGGTAGATCGATCACTTCTTAATTGATTTTCCCGCGCTGTGTTTTCTAATACATCCTTTGAAGTATCATAATATCTTAGTAGGATCTCTATGCGAGCCACATTTATTCATGTTGAATGTACAATAAATCATATTTTATTTATGCTTAAATTTCTCTGATGAGTAGTTATTATTTACACTAGTTACAATTCGGCCTTCAAGAATCTCTTCGAAGATGAGACAAAACAGCAGCCCCATGATGTCCAAAACTCATAGACTATGGAGACGGAACAAAGAAGAGATATGATACACCAGCCAACTACGCGTTCATCTTCCCAAAACTAAGTGACAAACTAAATGGGTGGACGTATAGATTGCTGGGGACATTTTTTTTTAATTCATAGTAGATAACCGTGCCAGCTCATGTATCCTTCCGCATAGCAACGTCAACATTTTATCAACGGAACTAACACAAGTATATATAACCACAGTTATAAGCTCTATGAACTTAGTTGTAAATAAAAATATACCTGGTTTCATTAAAGGCCTTATAAAAATATATCCCAACATTATACTCCCAGCAAGTGCATGCGCAGGAGTATACCATAAAAGTGATAAAGGCTGTCATGCTCCTACTATTGCCAAGGCTAGGCGTCTATTAGAAGAGAAAATTCAGGCAGTAAAGAGGGAATTTTCGTAATTGCAAAACAATGGTGTCGATAAACCTTCTTATATTGAATTAGCTAGACCCTGACAAAAAAAGGAGAAAAAAAGAAAAGAAAAAAAGCCAGATGGAACTTCCGGATGCTGCGGTGAATCCCGTGTATTATAACCACGTATATTTCTCCATCCAAATTGCAGGAATACAATCCATTTGCAATAAAGAATGCAGCATCCATTTTTTCATCTTACATGGAAAAGAATTTTCAACATTTTGGCTGTGTATACATTGACGATATTGGTATTTTCAGAGATGATTTTTCAGCACGTATAAAAGACGCTGGAACTGTTACAAAAATCCTACACGATAATAATCTAAGAATTTCAATATCAATGTCAACATTTGATGTGATTTGAATCGATTGTTGGGTTATAATATTAGCTCCAAATGTATTAGACCGACAGAAAATAATGTTATTGCATTACAGAATTTTTTGCAAGTAGAAACATGCTAATCTTGTATTAATAATTTCGAATATATATATATATATATATATATATATATATATATATATATATTTATATATATATATATATAGTTTATGCAAATTTAGGTAATCCGTATGGGTAGACCTGAGAGGATGATATCCAGAGAGCTCAATGTAAAATTGAGAGCATATATGTTTGAATAAAAGACAGACCACGTTAAGATTCCATGTAATAAGCTATTTCACCATAACCCCTTTAACAGGGTTCTGGATCATCAGACTTACTTCCAAAAGCTGAAATGAAAAATGAAAAAAGAAAATTCACACGTTTTTACGGACCTCATCAAGTATACGCAAAGTTAACGACGTGAGGAAGTGAGGTGGGAGAGGGGTATATATATATATATATATATATATATATATATATATATATATATATATGTATATGTGTGTGTGTGTTTGTTTGTGTCTGTGTCTGTATTTGTGTGTGTGTGTGTGCAGCTGTTTTATGCGAAGACTTTTGTGTATTGTTCATGAACGAAATATGGATACAACTTTGCTTTATAATTTTTTGCCACTATAGAGTGAGATCTACATCAATATGTCGTCTACCCAGGTGCAGCGCGGTGGTCTACCGTGCCCTTCTCCTCACGTGGCCATCAGGTAAGGTGAGGTCATTGAGCAGGTCAGGTAACGTCTAACGTCGATTCTTAAGAAAATGCGAGACGTTGGTATTCAGCTGTTCAGTCACATCTTGATCATTTTTGCTAGATGATGAGAAAAAATTCCAATGCGTGTCGTTCGTAGAAGATATACAAAGAGTTTAACGCTAAAATAAATGTATGTATTGTATTTGATAGCATGTTTATTTTTACCTCTCGATCTTTAATATAAATATAAATAGTATATAGTGACATAAATGATAATATAGGGTTTAAATAAATATGTATTCACATACAATACTATATTATAGTTCGGTGCTGCACAGACCTTATGCTATAGACGAAACAGGAAGTAGACATTACGCTATATTGAGGTAAACCTCACGTTATGGACGAAACGAGGGGTAGGCCTCACGCTATATTGAGGTAAACCTCACGCTATGGACGAAATGGGAGATAGACCTCACGCACGCTATAACGAGGTAGACCTCACGCTATAGAAGAAACGGGACGTAGAACTGTCGCACGCTATATCGTGGTAGACTTCACGCTATAGAGGAAACGGGACGTAGACCCGCCGCACGCTATATCGAGGTAGACCTCACGCTATAGACGAAACGGGACGTAGACCTGTCGCACCTTATATCGAGGTAGACCTCACGCTATAGTCAAAACGGGATGTAGACCTGTCGCACGCTATATCGAGTTTGACCTCACGCTATAGACTAAACGAGACGTAGACCTCATGCTATATTGAGGCAGAACTCACGATATAGTAGATCCATTCTTTTTGTGTTCTTCTCATATATTTACTTTCTTTTTCTTTTTCTACTTGCTCCCTTTCCACCTCCTCCTGTTACTTCTACTTCGTCCCTGTCTCTCCTTTCCCTTTGCATTTTATTCTGTTATTTTTTATACAACGAACAAAATATTTTGATTGATAGTCGGATACAAACTGGTGTATATTTCGCATGCTTTATCTTTCTGTTTTAAATAATTTTAATAATAACATTTTGTTTCTTTAATCTTCCACTCTGTGCGCAGATTGAATCTGGCTATGATTTGCAGGATTCCTATCGAATGATTCCATGTATATCTGAAGCACACTTATGTCTGAAAATGATCCTCTTATTTAGAATGTGTCTGGCAATATATCAGTCGTCTAATTATCCTATGTACATGTACAGTTAATCTACTTGTTTCGCCGACTCTGCGAATGAAAAGAGAAAGGTGAGAGATGAATAGCTTTTCAGATGTTCAATGGGAAAATGGCTTAATCAGCAGGGAGAGGTTCCGATTAGTGAGACCTCTAAGTGTGGATCGGTGTAACACTGATCCTAAGCGATAGATCTGTGTTCAATCATCTGTGGCTATCCGGACATTGGTCTACTGAAGCGAATAATTTGGCGGGAACAAGCTGTGGCAGAGAGCAAATGATATCACTTGGTTGAACATGTCATGTTTAACGTGATAAGGTTTAATTATTGTCAAGTCTGGCGGGGATAAGCGGAAAGAAAGAAAGAAAGAAAAATGAAAGAAAGAAAGAAAGACGAGAGAAATGGAGAGGTGAAGAATAAGAATTTAGAAGAATAAGAAGGATCGGGAGGAAAAAAAGGAATGTTGTGATAGGTAAGACAAAGAAAGTGAAGTGAGAGTGTTTGTCAAGGTATGAATGAAGGATAGTAAAAATGGTTGTGAAAGAGGAGCAGACAAAGAAGCAGAAATAGAAGAAGAGGAACAAAAGAGAAAGCGGAGGCAATGGACAAGTAGAAGAATTAAGCAGGAGGAGGAGATAAAGAGAGCAGGGGAAAGAAGAAGAAAGCAAAGTGAAAAGTAGCAGAAAAAAGAAATGTGAAAGAAGGGACAGCGGAAAATGGCTGACAAAGAAGTTCGAAGAGGACTCGAAGAGGATGCAATGAGACGTGCATAGAAAGAAGAAAAAGAAAGAGGAAGAGGAGGAGGAGGAGAAGTAGTAGTAGCAGAAGAAGTAGAATTATTATTATTATTATTATTGTGGAAAGGAAAACGTAAAAGAATTATAATTGTGAAAAGGGAAAATTAGAAGAATAAGACGAAAAGGGAAAGAAGAATTAAAAGAGGAAAGGGAGAAATATAAATAAATAAAAGTAAATGAAGTGGAAAGAGGCAAGTGGAGAAGTACAAAGAAAGAAAGAAAGAAAGAAAGAAAGAAAGAAAGAAAGAAAGAAAGAAAGAAAGAAAGAAAAAAGAGACGGAAGAGAAGGAGGAGGAAGACGCAAGTGGACAAGAAGAACCAACTAACTTAAGAAAGAAAGAAAAAAAAGGTATGATGAAGAAGACGGGAGAAGAAAGAGAGAGAGAGAGAAGTTACAAATAAATCATAAAAGGCAAATGGGAGGCTATAGTCAATTGAGGCAAGGAAAATAAAATAATTATTATGAGGAAGAGAGAAAGTGAGATGTAGAGATATATACATGAATGTATGAAGTATAAGATGAACAACAACAATAATAACATCAAGGCAATGGAAAAATAAATGAGAAAGAAAGGAAAAATAAAGGAACAAATGAGAAAAGAAAATAGATAGATAGATAGATAGATAGATAGATAGATAGATAGATAGATAGAACAAATTAAGAGTAAGAAAAGAAGAATATATTGACGGAAAAAGACAATGAGGGAAGTCATCGAACATATAAAGTAATAAGAAAGAATTAATTTAGGAGGGGAAAAGAAGATAAGTATGGAGATAATAAAGCAATCAGGTAAATTTTGAAAGTGGAAATAAAAGGTATAATTTGAAAGGGGATGGAAAATGGAAATTAATAAAAGAAGGAATGGGGCTTCAAATAGATGCAATGGAAGGATTTCTGCCATAACATTCCACATAAATATGTGCAATACCGAGGAATCAAAATAAACAAAAATAAATAAGAAAGCTCAACAATAATCAAAAATTTAATCAATTCTTTTAAATATTTCTTGTTCATTTCTTGTGGATATCTCAGTAGATATCATTCCCTTACCGCTTTGTGTCAGATTAAACAAAATGTTACAGTATAAAAGGCGTTGGTTTTAGGCGTAGGTTTTTAGTTAGCTACCCAATCCCTTCGTTAATGGTGCTACTTTGATCGTCAAAATCATTATTTAGCATGATTAGTTAATCTGCGTCTCACTCAAATAAAATTTGGAGACATTTTTTTTTCAGGTGTTTTTCTGAATTGAGAATGTTGCAAGTTGTCTATAAGCGCAATTTCTCCAGTCAATATAAATAGCTAAATTTTAATTGTTGTTTTTTTTTTATAGCAAACAGACCCTCCCCGACTGGAAGTTTAGCAATGGATAATTTTTCGGCCACATATAGATCTATTGCGAACTGCACTTTCTTATATACGCCTATTGAATATAAAAGGAAACCAATTAAAAATAGTTATAGAAACTAAAAACGAAAAAGGAAGAAAACAGATAGTGAATATCAACCTGCGATAGAGTAGTCACATACATTTCGACCTTTTGATGCACTACAGAATTAATTATAGACGGGTTAACTGAACGAGTCAGGCACTGCCCCATCATGTTCCTTACATACTGAATGGAAGATTGCTTTGGTAATATTGTGGCTAGAGATCTAGTTGAGCAGGTTTTCTCGCATGGTTATAATGCGGGCTGGAAATAGGTATTTCTGTATTATCTCTCAATCTACCAATTTGCTTATATATTTTACTTACATATGTTATATATTTGTTACAACCACAGTTTGTTTCTTTTCAGGTTAACTAGAGTTAATTGTTTCTTTTCAAAAAGAGAGTTATTATGTGAAATTATTATATGACAAATATTAACGACGTTTTACCAGGTAACGTATTTTCTAAAACCTTTTTTATTTTCAAATTTTCTCATTTTCTTTCACTCCTAGCAATCCATTGCTTCTTAGTAGCATTATTGCCTTGATTTGGGTGAAATGTTTATAATATGGAATTGTATATTCCGCAAGAGTGGACAAGTATATTTATTTATTTTTATTTAATAAAGAATATATAATTTCATATATTAGAAGATGCGTGTTGATATCCTATTTCTTTTGTAGAAAGAGCATATTAACTTGCTCATGCAGGAATGGCAGAACAACTGCTAGAATAATATTCTGGGCGTGCATGTACATGTGCGCCATGTGGAAATACACTTGCGAAGATGTTATTCACCAGATTAACCTGCTGCCATCATTGAACACGACTGAATACCAATCAGTACAACAAGCAACCCTCTAGCGACGTATTGGATGGACACAGGATGGTGATTAGCGTACATCCGTCTAAAGCGCCACATGCTCGTAGTTCTATTCATATTAACCGATACTTCGACGGCCTTTGTCGAGTGATATGGACTATATTTGTATTTACCTGTGCTGTGAACGACGTGCTTTCTGGGAGATACGCCGATGTTGGCGTGTTCCGTTAAGGAAATAATCTACACGTGCAGGAAAGGTTATTTGATCATCGTTTAAGCATTTACTACATGAAGAGCAATTATCTGAAAAGACCATCCACTAACTGAAAGACCAACAATCTGGTTCCTCTCAAAGAGACCTAGTTAAAGAAACGTAACATGTACCTGTCTTAAGAGCATTACCAATGCTTGTACACGGCGCTTCCACCGTGAAAAATTTATCGCAGAAGAATTCCCCTACAGTCGATGTCCAATTATTCTAGGTCACTTGGTAGTCGAAGACAAAATATGTCATTAGCATATATTTTGTATTTCTAGAATAGACACACCGGACCGTGGTTAAAATTGGCATCGTTTTTCTAGGGTGTTCCACGTTTATATTTTTTTTCACTATATGTCTATATTTCTGAGATGAGGCATTTTATCTCAGTTCTGGCAACAATAGTCCGAATAATGTAAATAGTGTTTATATTTTCTCGTATACACACACACACACACACACATATATATATATATATATATATATATATATATTTGGTTGGATTGATGTGAGTTTGTGACACTGGATTTACACGCTTTTGCGATCGTCAGACGAACTGATTAATTTTTTTTTAAATTTGGGTTTAAAAAAAATAATCAGTTTGTCTGAGGATTAAAAAGCGTGAAACAAAGGTTCAAAACTCACATCAATCAACAAATATGTTAGCTCTATCTTTGATATTGACCGCTTTCTAATAAGTACCCGCGCATATAATATATAAAAATTATATATATATATATATATATATATATATTGCTGAGGGTTCTCCTTTCTACAAAATGGACTGACCCAGGTATACATATATTACTGCTAGTGAATACCAGAGGGGGGGCGAACGAGCACGAAGCAGAACGAACGTAACGAGAAAGAGTCACAGTGAGCGAGCACATAGACACAGTAAGAAGTCATACAGCGATACGTCGATACCAAAGACTGTATATATATTTTGCTGCTAACCCGCATTCCTGGAACTACTAACCTGCATTACCAGTTTGTATTATTACATTAATACAATCATTTTCCTATATTCTTTCTTGGCGTTTGTTATTTATTGGTACCGGATTTCATCCCGGAATCCACACACACACACACACACACACACACACATATATATATATATATATATATATATATATATATATATATATGAGTGTTTATGTGTGTGTCCTTCACTCAAGAACCATTGTAAAAATCCATAAAATCTTAAGTCAATGTTGCGAACTGGTATTTGTTTGCATTGGACCGAATGGAGTGGAGAGTTGCTGTTACCCTGGGGTAAAGAGCATCGAAAAGAAGAGTGTCAGTGCCTGAATATTGCGCCTACCTTGAAACAGCCTGTCGCCTCTGAGTGTTGATTTCAATGTTCACTTTTATATACATACATATATATATATATATATATATATATATATATATATATATATATATATATATCTGTGTATGTGTGTGTGTATTGTGTAATCAATTTCTGTTTTATTTAGATTAAATGCATGTCAGAAAAATTTGTTAATTTAAAAATCTTCTTATTTACTTTTGCTAATTAAGTAAATTAGCATTACTAATTTTTCTAATCGAAAATTAGTTTCTGAAATTTCTTTGATCATGTTTCTCTGATGACAAAATCACTTTTCATTTTCGTGAACGGACCAGTTTGTGAAAAAGTTTACTTCACAATTTGAGAAAATAGATTAATTAAACAAAAGTCAATTTCATTTCAGCCATTTTCTGGTTGCCATTTGCATTTTTATTGCAATTTAACGTTTAATCTAATCTTTCAGCAAAATGTTAATTTCATTCATAATAATAAAACGTTATGCACACTTCGCCCCTCATCTGACAGAACTTAAAACAAATCGATATTTGCATATTAAACTTCCTCCCATAAGATGGCCAGGTTCTTTCAGCGAATAGATTTAGTAAGATCATGATTCCCCACTAAATGTATAATTTTGCATCAATAGAAATTCAAGGGACATAAGAACTTCCCCAAAATGCATACCTCATTTTATGCTTTTATTACGATTTCAACTATAGACTTCTTTTAATGTTTAAATTAGGTGGAATCAAGAAATACAATACAATCAACATTCATCATAGAAATCAACAGCATCATAATTAGCTCCTTGACAAGTTGTTGTCGTTGGGTCTTTGGCTAATTGACCACGTGATTAATTATCTCGTAATATATATATATATATATATCTGCTTGAAAGTTCAATGAGTATTTATTTCTGCCTGGTGTAAGTAGACGCGGCAAAACCCACACGTCTGTAGGTAAGACAATGCTCTCCACCCCCGATTTCATCATGAACACATAGCTGATACTACAAAAACCTCCAGTGTGGCCATTACCTTCAGTTTCCGGGCCACTCGACACAGCGATATCTCAGTTCTGTATACACTGTTCCATTACATATTTAGCCGGCAGCCAATCACAAAACGCTGTAGTTATCATCATTGCATTTGATTCAACACTTGTGATTCATCACAGCGATATTCAGCTGCCTGCATAAAAGAAAGAGGCTATGAACGTTGAAAGAGGCTATGAACCAATGGGGTATTTTTGCCTCTGGACAGCGAAAGAAATGGATCTTCATAAAATATAACTTATTCCCATTATTATTTTTTTACGTCTTTCTTTTCTGGTGTGAACATATTAATTTCCGATTCCCGCCCAGATATCTAGGGTCCGAAATGGTATCATGACATTTTCCACTGAGCAGTTCTGAAAAGAAATCACACATATTTTAAATAGATAAAGCGCTTCCTAAAGTGTGAGCAGTACTTGTGAGAATATGTTTTTATTTCTTCAATGTGTAGGCAACCAGAAGTCCCATCAATGAGACTACTGGTGTCTTTACAAATCAATCCGAGGGATCCAACTACAATTGGAATACTTGTATTTTGATAGTTTTTGAAGATCTTCAAAGATGCATTGATGGACGCAATCCTAAGTTCATACAATTTTTATATTATTATTATTATTATTATTATTATTATTATTTCCTTTGGTTTTTGGTGTATACACATTTTTCCGAGTCCCGACAAGAGACCTAAGTTCATAAATGGTATCAACATTTTCCACTGAGCAGTGGTTGATAAAAAGAAAGTAAAAAAAGAAAAGAAAAGACCACACATATTTTAGATTTGTGTGAGGTACTTGAGAGAACATTTTTCTTATTTCCTTAAGGCGTAGGCAACTAAGAATCCCTTCAATGATTCTATTGGAATATTTTCCAATCAATCTGAGGGATCCAACTACATCTGGAATTGTTGACGTCTTCATGTGCCACATTTTTGTGATTTCGATTTCAAGGTCCTTGTATTTTGATCGTTTTATACATCTTCAAAGACAGTCTGTAGGGACTGCCATATCAATAAGAAGAATCCT